AAATGGATTAGGATTACACATAGTAGACAAAAGAGTTATGTAAACCCTAAAAGGAGATATATGGAGTTTCAAAATGGTGATTTTATGTTTCTTCAAGTTCCTCCAATGAAGAGAGTAATACAGTTTGGCAAGAAGGGAATGTTGAGCCCGAGGTATCTTAGATTGTTTGAAATCATTTATCGAATTGAAACGAGTGGCTTATAAATTAACATTACCATCATAGTTTTTTCGTGTGCACATTGTGTTCAATATTTCCATATAAAGAAAATATGTACTCGATCCATCTCATATCTTAGAACCACAATTGATGGATTTAAATCTTTACTTTTCATATGAGGAGCAACCGATGGTAATAGTAGATCGTTAAGTTAAAAAATTTAGTAATAAGGAGATTATGTCCGTTAATTTCATTCGGAGGAACCATTTGACCAAAGAGGCCACTTAGGAGGCTAAGGAAGAGCTGAAAATGAAATATTCTCACTTGTTCACTTACTAAGGTATAATTAGAATTAAATTCAATGATGAATTTTTATTAAGGGGGAAAGAATGTAATAACCCATCCTAAAAAAATATTTAATTTAATAATTTGAAAAAAAAAGTTTAGGCAATATATAAAGGAAAAAACGAGACAATTGCTTTCCCTCATTTTTTCCTTTCTTCTTCTCTTCTCCTTCTCACTCAAACTCTTCCTTTTTTTCCTCCCATCTCTCTCATTTAATCTCTAAGTCAAAACCTTCTTTAATTAACTTAAAAAATCATAAAATAAATTGATTAAAGTCAAGTTTAGATTGGACTAAAGCTTAGAAAGTTAAGATTGAAAAGCAAATTATCAAAGATAAGAACTTTCATCATTTTGTCTTTAAATGAAGATATTTATATGTGTTATTGATGATATGAAAGTTAAATTATGTTGGGTTTGTTGTTAGAATGAAGAATTTGATTAGATTAGTGTTAGGGTTTTTGAGACCCATTTGGAAAAAAGTCGATTAAGTGATTTTAAGTGATTAAATAATATTTAATTGTCTTCGGTTAGTGATTTATGAAGTTGAATTGAGTAAATTTAACTAATTAAGTGGTTGAAGATGATGAATGGTAAATTTTGAAAATTGGGTTTTGAATCGAAAAGAATTTAGGAAAAATAATGTATTAAGTTATATAAATGCAATTAAAGACGAATGAAATGAGTATTGAGTAAATTAGAATAGAATTGATAATTTAATTAAGAATTTATTGTTTAAAGTTTGAATTAAATTTGAGAATTGATGGTTAATAAGGTGTTTATCTTAAGTGATGTTTGAAATGATGTTTATTGATTATCTTGGTGTCGTCTTACATTGGGTTTGCCATTAATTGAAGATTAAGGTAAGTTAAGGAAGAATGATGAGTTATGTAGGTAAGTGAAGTAAATAAATTGAATTAGGAATTGATGATGGATAATTGGATTGTTGAATATATTATAGAGTGAACTTAGAATTGGTTAAACTTGTCTAGAATCGATTGAGAGAGTAAGAGTTAAGTTAAAGTTATCGATTTAAGTCTTCTAATCAATTTTTATTCTTAGATAATCTTGGATCCCGATTTCTAGAATAATTCATTTGTTTTAAATTATTCTTCGATATGCGATATTGATGGTTATTCTACCATCTTGTGTTATTAGATTATTCGAGTGGGTGACTCTATCTCAACGAACCTTGATTCCATTCAATCTATTGATTGTACTATGAGTGGATATTATATAACATATTATGCTTTTAAATTCCTTCAACATATTTATCATACATCATTGATTTATCTATGATTTAAGCACATTCATTAGAACTTAGACGAAAATGGACCCTTTGTACATTTCAAATGATTTCATATCGAGAATGGTTTGATATGATTTTAAAAGGGATTTGAATATGTGTTTGAACAAGTATTTTATTTATGGTTTGATATGCGATTATGGATTTAAATGCTAATTTACTTTAGACTCGTTATTTTGATTATTCATATAATTTTTATTGTTGTTTATTTTATATTGAATTACACTATCAAATCTAATTTTAAGCATGCATTATATTTGATATACAAGATTTGGATATTTTAGAATACGTCAAGTTTATGTGATTTTCGATATGATTTGGTTGCCTTAGGGTACCTAGTACGGGGGTAGCCTTTGAGCTCAATGATATGTTAAGCTCTAGTTAGTAAAAGAGGTGTAGTGCTAGCCCATGTGTCGGCTAACATACGAAAACCTAGTCATGGGGGCGTGACCCTTAGGTGTTCGTATCTAATGATACGTTATGTTTTTCCTGCCAAGTGTAATGAAAACATAGATATATGATATGATTTGATTATAACATATATACATTAATTTTGATGATTTAATGCAATTTGGTTTTGAACCATTTAAGTTATAATATATGATTTGCTATTTATAATATGCATTTAGTTTAGAGAAATAAGCATTACATCTTGAGTTAAAATTTAAGTTATCATCCTTAGTCTTTTTTCCTTCCTTATTATGTTATATAACATCTACTCACCGAGTCGTTGATTTGCTCACCCTTCACTATTTCGAGTCTTGCATGGTTTATGAGAGTGCCTTTTTAGCTTCCACTCAAATGCTTATCTTAAAGTCAACACATTGATCGTGCAACTTATTTACTTGTAATCTCTTTGAACTTATACTTGATTTGGTTATATCTTTTAAAAAGTCTACGGTTATATCTTGTGGAAGTTGTATTAGAATTTGATTATGGATATTGTTTTTGAAAAATACATGAATGCTATGGAATTATCATTGTGTTGGAGTTAATAAGTAATGATTATTAGGTTGAGATATTGTAAATGGAAATGATGTTTAATATACTAAAGGTTTGAGGATTTAAGTTTAGATATTTGACGCTTACTTGAATCTAGGTAGACTCGTCGATTCTTGCACCGATCATGGGTAATTTTGGGAGTTGTGATAGATTTTTCATAAGAAATGACAAATTGAAGGAATTAATTTTAGACAATAAGAATACTATAATATGAAATATGTGTTCATTTAAAAATATAAAACACATCACATGTATTTCTTTCTTGTCATTTTGTGAAAAAAACTTATAAAATAACAATCGCTTTTCTATATTTTTCACAAAAAAAAAATCAAATTATTGAAAAAAAAACCAAGGTAGTGAAATAAAATTGAAAACTAAAACAAAAATATATTTTTTTCAAAGATATAAAACACATCATATATATTTCTTTGTTGTCATTTTGTGGAATGTTTTTTTTAAATAACGATTAAATTTCTATAATTTTTGCAAAAAAAAAAATCAATAATTTTTAGAAAATAAATTATTAAAAAAAACCAACCTAATAAAATGAAGTTCCAAATTGAAAAAAAAATACATAAAAAAAAAAAAAGTAAAAGACCCGAGTGTAATGTCATGTGTTAAAAAAATAAAGAACAAAAGTAGAATACAAAAATAACTTGCATATTAAATATCTTAAAAAGTACAATAATACTATAATATAATTTAATGAATAATGCAAACGACTCTTTAGGAATAGTAAATTGAATCTGCATGTATATATCGTTGTGAATGATAAAATGAATTCTAGAGTTTTTTCTAATTAGAGAAGCCGGATCTATTGCACAAAAACTCATAGGTCACGTAAAGGATAGACTTGGGCTGAAAAAGCTGGCCCAAAATATACAGTAACGAGGCCCATACAAAGGGTCGTTCAGAATATGGACTAATCATTTTCATCCGTGGTTCTGTTTAAAAATGTTTTATCGGAAATAAACAAAGCAATGGTTAATCAAAACAAGTCAAAAGGAGAAAAGCATGCGATGCAACAATGGCAAGAGGTAAGCTAGTGTGAAATAGACAGGAAAGAAAAACAAGAAAGGCTTTGAAGTTTGAACCATAAAGAACCCATAAAAGCTTCACAAAAGCAAAGATAAATTTACATAATTGTTACAAGGCACATCCAAATGGTTCGTTCTCAAAAATTGCAGTGTGGTAGAAGGTTGGAAAGAAACGGTACAATTGTCACTTGTCACACCAAGCAGCTGAGATGGTCAAAATTAGGTGCTTAATTTTGTCGAACTCCCAATTACTGAAACTGTGATTTGCTTTATTAATTGCTTTGATTTAGTCTTCCACCTTTTCACTAGCCAGTCATATTAAATTTGTGACAGCCCCATGATAGGTATGGGGAGATCCTTTTTAATTACTTTGAAAACTTCAACTTCCATCCCTCTTCCGGAGACCATAAGGCCACACAGCTTTGTCACTCAATGTATAACGTATGTGAATGGGTGGGCAAACCTATATATATATTTGTTTTGTATTTTATTGATTTAAATTACATTGTTATCATTTCGTATTGAAATTATTTATAGTGGTGCGCTTGTAATCGTTAATTATAAAATAACAATTGATAAAAGAAAATATTAAAAAATAAAAATAGATTAAAAGTAACAATCAATTGATTTTTTTTAAAAAAAAACGTTGTAATTGAAAAATGATATAATATATAAATACATATTGACATGTTTCTCCTGAATATATACCTTTGTTTGAAGTGCTAAATACTAGAGCATAAAAATAATTTTTCGATTAATATATATATATTGAATGCGTGATTTGAAAATACAATAAATCACAAGATTTATTAGCGATTTGGACATAATGTTAATGTTTTTGTGATGATTCATATGTTAAGCTAGTCACCAAACTTGTTACCAAACCACGCCGAATTGGCATGTTTAGCCTCTCTTTTTTCAAGTTAGCTAAAATTAATTTTTCAGAAATACAATTACGGATGCTAAATTACAACCTCAATTATATTATAATTAAGTATATATTCATCATCAATTTAGAACACCTATATATACTCTTCACAAGCAAAAGCTTACATGTACATTTGGATCATGACCCAAATGAAAAACCTCAAATACGAGGAATAAAAAAAGAAGGAAAAAAAATTGATAATTTCTTCTTGAAATTAGGATTTTGGACTCATCTCTCGGTCTCAAGTCCTTCAGGACTTTCAATGATGCTCTCCAAAGAGGGTTTCCATGGCTTAACTTTCATTGATCTCCCTCTCTCTATCTCTTCCAAAACATCTTCTAGCTTCTTTCCTCCATTAGCCTTTAGCTGAAACATTAACCACTCCAGCTCTTCTTTTGTAAGCACAATCTTAACCTTAACACTTGCACCTTTCTCAAAATTACCACTTTCCTTCAGAAAATCAAGTTCTTTCTTTTCTTGGTGTAGCTCTTCCATGTTATCATCCTCTTCATGTTGTCTTCTTGTGCTTGGCTTTATGCAATTTCCCATACTTTGAAGTGCAGAAGGGAGAAAAAAACACTCAATGTTTCAACGATACCCAAAATGGTATTGGGAACGCAAAAAAAGAAGAATAAAACGGAAAAGTATAATAATGGAAAAGTGGTTTTCAAAGGCTTCGACTTGTGGATATCAGGTGGAGCGGGAGACATGGTATATATAGGAGTTAGGTGCCCATAATTTACGTAGAATTTCTTGCACAGGAATTACGATTTTTCTATTTGCAAAGTGACAAACTAAATTTCAATGAATATGACACAACTATTTGTGTGCCATTTTATTATATTAGTTACGTTTTTTTTTTTTCTTGTTTTCTTTATAACTAGTTGAGTGCCAGAAAAGAGAGAGAGAGCGGCACAATCTCTTAATTATCAGCTTCTATATTTGTTTGTTTGTTTGTTTTGGATATCAATCCAACAACTTAAAATTTAAATGCATGAAATCAGGATATGTCAGTTGGCAATTTTCTTTCTCTTAATTACTCTCTATTAAGTCTATTTAATTAACTATAAGTTCGTAGCCTTGTGTGCAGCCCACATATGTAACTAAGATATTCAAAAATTTGTAAATAAGATCTACCAATAATTAAAATAATCTACAATTTAATGTTGAAAAAAAAAAAAAACCCAAGAGGCTGGTAATTAAGGTTTTTGTTTGAAATCTAATTTGGAGGAAAATCTATAGTGGTCTTGCACTTTCTATTGGTAGTTTTTTGTTTTGTTTGTAGAGTAATTAAGCAATTATTGGAGATCAGTAGACCATATCGAATTGAAGTTCATGGAAAATGAAGGTTTAGGTATGCGTCGATCTTGATAATACCTTATTGATTCCCCGACAATAATGTCAGAAGTACGATGGGGTTTCTCTTAAATTCGCACTTGAATTTAATAAATGCTGTGGAAAATAAGAAACAGGCTGCAGAAGAGTTTTTTTCTGTCACCGGCTATCCATGTTTACAAGAAAAGGAATCGTTAGACCCATAAAAATAACACTGACCAGATTTATAATTTTCAAAACACCGACAAGCTTAACAATTGCATTTATATTGCAAATTATTTTTCATTCATAGTAATTATTTTCCACCACTTCTAGAGAATTCATGATCCCATTGGTAGAATTTACTTGTTAACAATGAAAGATTCGTCTGGCACAATCGCATTTTGATTCGAAAATGTTTCTATTATATTCTGAATTCATGAATCCCTTAATTTAAAAAGACAAAACTAGATAAGAAGACGAGATTTAAGATAGCATTATTGCTTAGAGGCCTTAAATTATCAATATAATTAATGGAAATGATAGTGACATAGAGTCACAGACTATTAAATTATGAGAAAGAGGAAGAACTTACTTAGAAAATATTTAGTACATATTTTTTTCACGATCGAGATTTACCAAATCTAGATGATTAGACTTCAACACAGTGAAAGTTGAATAACAATACTAATCTCGCCCGTGAACATGGGAACGTGGCCATTCATTAATTGGATGAAAAAAATTTCAACTTTCATTAAATTAATATTCATAACTACTATATTTTGTTATGTGGAGGAGACTCCATCATTGTTGGCTGTTGCTGTCCTTTTGCAGCAGAGTCAGGGCATGGTGCCTTTGACAAGTTCATTGTAACATGCCCTAATCATTCAGAGCCATATTGATAGTTTAAACGTCAAAGTAGTTCACAAATTTGAAATTTTTCTAGATAAATATTATGTTTATTTTTATCTTTTAATTTTTTTTTTGGTGTTATATATATATATATATATATATACACACACGAACGAGCATATATTATAATTAATGAGATATTTTTGAATTAATAAAAAAATATATAAATTTATGTGCATGAGTTATTACGTTTAGTGAAATATTTTGAGTTACTTTCATGTCCATCTAGATAAAAGTCATCATTTCTTGAATTGGATTAGCAATGGATCATGTCTACTCTTAGATAAATTTTAAAAATTAAATTTTTTGAGTTCACTAGCAATACATGTTGAGTACTATACAGGTGTGTTTTGATATTTAGTATTTAATAAAAATAATATTTTTAAATCGGTTTTTATACTCCGAAACTAATTAATAGCATCTCAATTAGATATAGGTCGTCACCGTCACTTGGACAGATGCATTTATAAGAAAAATATTTTCTCAAGACCTCTCTTGTAAGGATTTAAACAGTAGACGACTATGTGAAACAAATATTCACTTGTTAACCACAATGAACCTCCAAGTTTATAACAAGGGCATTTGGTTCCTTTTCTTTTACATTGTGAAAACATTCAAAATATTGGATCCCCCCTCCCCCAAACACCACCCCCTTTCCCTTTTTTTCCGCCCTAATGCGCCCTGGGTTTGAAATGTAAAACCAATTTTGATAAGGCATCAATAGAGATTTGGTTTCTTTTCTTAACATTGATTGAAAAAATTAAACATATTAGACTCGTTTTCCATAATTTCACATGGGTTGGAAATTTTAAACCAATTTTTCTGTCCGGCAGTGTAAGTTACAGCGCTCCTTCCCAGCGGTCAACATAACCTGTGTACCAGGTGTGAACACGACTACGTACTTGAATATCCCTCTTAATCAAGCATGATATCAAGGTTTGATATGGTAAACAAATAGAACTTTTTTGGCCTTGTGTCTGGACCGATGCTGATTGTGATGACCTCAGGTACTCTTTTCCCAATTTTCTTATTTGGAGAATAAACACCACTAGTTATTCCTGTTGAATTTTCCATTGTGTCAAGTATGAAAACTAGGTCTATCGTCCTCTTTTCGGCCATTTGCGTGGGTCCAAAACTTTCTTTTTGGAATGTTGAAACTTTTGATGTGAAACGTCCTTTTTTTGCCTAAGTTTCTTGTTTAGCTGATGCTTTCTTGAACTGAAACAGCCAAGCTGAAGTACAACTCTCTCTTCTTAAGGAACTTCTTGTCGAAGAGCATTGTCCTGGGAACATATAAGCTTAGTTGCTTAAAGCTAGATTATGATTTATTTAGTTAAATCTCAAACACCATTTGCAAGTTGCAACTATTCTTGCACTACAAAAGAAAAAGAAAAAGAAAAAGAAAAACGAAAAGAAAATCTTCAGAAACAATCTCATCTTGACTCTTGGATGTCTTTACCCCTTCATGGCACTATGGTGAAAAATGCACCCTCGTATACATTGCAAACCTTGTTTATGAGTCTCTTATCATGCAGTTGTAAACCCTGGCCCCAAAATGATTAAGACAGGATTAAGGGAGTAAGACCAAGTTATTTGACGTAATCGTGATGTTCAATGACGTTACAGACTCCAAAAGAGTAGAAATTTAAAGTGAACCAAAGGTCACAAGTCATCTGGCTCATGAATTACTACAGCAGAAGCCTGTTCAAGCATCATTTCTTCAAGATAAAATTACTAAATTAGTACGCTACTTTAGCAAAGTTTTACGTTACATGTATTTATGATTATTTTATTAAGATTAAGACAACTTCGCTTTCAAAAGATCGGTGGAAACAATAATGCTCACTCGACAGTCTCAAGTTTAGGTAGGAGTCCCGTAGTTTAATGTTTTTGGGAGACTGGTAACTGTTGAAGCATGAGGACTTAATCTTGAATATTCGCAATAGGGACTACAACCACCTACTCTGGGCCAGCTTGTTTCGACAAAGTCATCAAGAAAAGAGTTTGTCAACGAGCAAATCAGATTCTTTCAATCTTTCACGCCATCCGTAAATGGCAAAGGACGACAGAGGAAACAACCCAAAATCCCTCATGCTCGATTCATAATTAGGTTCACTTGCAAACTAGGCCTGATTGACGGACCAATGTGGTGCCACTCGAGACTGCTTGCCAGTTAACAAAAGGGATCCATGTGAACACTGTCCAAATCCTAACCCTTGCTACTGGCTCCAGGTTTTGGCTTTACTTTCTACCAAGATCAGAACATCACCTACTTGATAATGCAACGAATTTTTTTTATTATTATTATCATGAACGATCACTTCTCAAGACAAAGCATGGCTGTATTAAAATTTCACAACCACGAACAGAGTAAATGCCATGCCAGCAACCAACAAAATGAAGACTGGTGCAAAGAGTAACCGTTATGAGAAAATCACAAGACTTCATGCATAAAAAAGGGACAGACCTTAGCCTCCAACCAAAAAAAAGCCAAAACCACCATATCAAGAGAACTCACTAACCATAGGGATATTGCAATTCAAAAACATAATAGAAAAATCCAAGTCAAATCTTAAAGTTAATGAGCACATAAGCCAACGCATAAATGGTTCATACCAGTGGAGCATGCTAACTAAAACATTAAGTTCTTCACAGGCTTTTCTAGATCTTTTATAATAGGTTCAGCTCCAAAACCAACTAAAGGAGGTTAAACTAGCATACATAACCAAAATATAGAGTCCAAGTCTGACTCACTGCATTCGCCGGCGCTTCTTTGCAAGATTTTCAAAAATCTGGTGGACATCAGAAGATGTGATTGTCTTTGATGTATCAAATGACTCCTGCAGGAAAACACAGATACATACATCAGTGCTGCATATTTGTTTTGCAAAAATAAACTCAAACTAAAGTGGAGCAAATTACAGCTTAGTTTGGCAAGATTGCATATCACAACAAAGTAAGCTATAAGGTGAGCTATCAAGGACGTACCAAAAAGGAACGGAACTCATCCTTAAAGTCTGCAATACCATTCAGAATCTCCACCTTCTCTACATGACCAAGTTTATCCAAGAAGCTCAACTCAGCACCCTCCTGTTGCTGCAATTTTTCTTCCCTCTTCTGCTTCGCCATTTTCTCATACTCAGCAATTGTGTCCTCCCTGTCAAGAAGATAACTTATTTGCTTCTGGTTGTACATATCCAAGCATTTTTCACATCTGCACAGGATGTCCCTCCAGTTTTTCGAAAGAAACAATGGTTTTCCTTCTGAAACAGGTGAAGTAACTTCCACATCAATTCCAAGAACACACATATTATGAAGATGGGTATCTTTTATGCATTGGTTTGATTCGTTTGACCCACTATTCTTCCCAGAACTTTCTCCAACAACAGATGCATTTCCAGCAGCCACAGATTGACAATTAGCATTAGCTGTTGTATTATCCTTTTCAGAAGAATGATCAGCACAAATATCATTCTCCAGCTTCCCAGAACCACAAGCTGAAGGGACGTCTTCCAACACATCCTTATCCTTAGCATTACTAGCAGTGGCATCACCTTTCTGCCTCCCAGCTGCCCAAATTGTCTGAGGATATAGTGTCAGAAAAGAACAAACTGTCGAGCATGTCTTGCATATAAAATCCTCATACAGAGGCTCTCCTTCCTCATCCCTCGGAATCTGTAAAACAAGGACATAAATGGGTAGCTCATGATCATACTACTAAATCTGAATCATATCCATTATAGCTCAAAGAATCCCAAAATTATAAAAGACCAGCAATCTCTTCACAAAGATGAGGTCCTGGGGACGGAAGTCCAAACTGGTTAGACAGTTATTGGAATTGTGTTTGCAAAAAGTGCAATCTGAAGCCTAAATAGACACTCCAACCATGTGCTTGAAATCAGAGAATAGGAATAAAAAATTCTTAAAACATGAACCACACAAAATAATCAGATGTCACTGATGAATAACATCATGCATTGTGACCTGAATTAACTTGATCATGTCTCCAAAATAAGCCGAGTATTATACCATCAAACTTACTAACCATGATGACCATAAATCACAGAATCACATAAAAGTTGCAGATATATCAACCAATTTTTTCCACCAACAGTAGTCTGTAGGGAGTGCGGGGTGTTGTGACCCCAACTTACAAAAGAAAAGTCTAGGAAAGAGCCAAACTGAAAGCATGGTTGTTCGACAAAACAACCCTGCCATAGATAAGACATACAAGAATTAAGTGACTATAGAAGAAAACAACAACTTGTCAACCTACCTACTTTATTGTGCATCTAAGGATTATTCCCCACAAGGACAGCACTTTTTTTAGGCTAAACAATGACACAAACAGGTGATTGGAGGAAAGCACGAGGCAAAGATATTGAGAACAAAGAGGGAACAACACACTACCAACCTCATTGGAGGACTCTAGACAAAGATGCTCCTCATGGAACCAGTCTTCGCACATAATGCACTGTATCATCTCTTCTTGTGCCTCAGCATCTGGATCAGGATAGGGCTGACCACAAGAGCAGTATAAACCTTTGAAATTATGATTATACGAATTTTCAGCATTTTCCACATCTTTCTTCGGGAAAAGCTTGCAGAAGAACTCCCCGAATTTTGAATTCCCACAATCACACCGAAAATTTCTCTTGGTCCATAACTCCACAATCTTTTGTATGCAACAGCAAAAGATAGCATCAGATGTAAGATAAATTCAACTAAACTAATGTTATTTAAGAGAAGGCATGGCGGACTGGATCACACTGATTAACTGCCACAGGTGTGGATAAATACTTATTAATGAACTGATACATTCAGATTACAAGCTTGGTTTTGAAGTGAAGTTTTCAAACTCCTTTTATAAGTGCCAGCATGTGATGAAGATTTTATCAATTCTAGTGCAATTGTTATATAAATAAAATTATGTTGCAATGCATATGTATGAGTGGATCTAATTGATTATTATCGTAAACACCAGTCTACACCAGTGGTTTTCAATTTCTATTTTAATTTCTATAGACAACTTTTAAGGGCATGAAATTAGTTTTGATCTTGCATTATGGTTTGCAAAGAAACATTTTCCTCTTAATAATGCCTCCATATTACAATTTTGGATCTAGGCTTCTAGCCATGTAAATTTGTTAAACTATTCATAAAAGTAACAAACAGCATATATGAGAGCTTTTAGCATTCACAATGTTATAAAAGGATTCAGCAGCTATATTCATAGTATTTTTTCCATCTCAAAATGTGCTGGAAAATTGCCTCATTTTGCCAATGTTCTTGCTAATGTACATAGCATCTTTTTAGTCAGCCAATGTGAGATCATACCATAGGACCTCACTCTCAAAGTATATTAATTTACAAATAGTTCTAAATCAAATTGAAAGTAGGGACATTAAACCACATAAAGAAACCCAGCAGGACTTAACTCAATCAACAATCAAACCACTAGACTAAAAGGGGAAAAAAAAAGTACCTCATGGCCATCATGGCAAGACAAACTACAAGCAGTGCAAACTCCAGCATTTCCATCCGGAGTGCAAGTCAGACATGAGAAAATAGCCTGTCTCTTCATGTATCCCATGTTATAAGTGCACTCCTTTCCCTCGTCTCCACCCAAAACCAAATCCGCATTCTTTGAGATCAACAACCGAGATAAAAAGCACATAAAAAAGTTAAATAGTAAATTCAATAAATCTAATAAGAAGCCAGTTAATTAGATTATACATATCTAATCTATCCACACCATCAAAGAATATAGCATCTTCTGGAACAATACCAAACCATTCGAAACATAATGCATTTTCATTGAGGTTACTGGCAGAGGCCACAAATTTCGTGATACAAAATTTCAAAAATAGAGACAACTGCAGTTATCTTAATCCAAAACAAGTTTTTACCCTTTTAGTCACTAAGTCTAGTCATGGACTTGTGTTGTTGTGAAATCTATCAATTTTCCTAAATGTTGAATAAAGATTAAAACTTTATCTTGTTGTGCAATTAAGAACCAATCAGTATATGATTAAAATAAAAAACCAATTCCTAAACCCATTTGGATCCTACGGTTTCCAATACCCGATCCCACTTTACCAAATACAAACATCAATCTCGATAAAAGAACTGTCTTCTCACATTTACCAAAACCCTAAGCAACACAAAGCAAACGACTCAAGACCCTAACTTTCATCTTCTCCTCCTGGCTGCCGAACAAATGGTACACAATCAACAATAATAACCAAAAGGGTAAAAGAAAATATAACACTTTAAATCAACAAAAACAAACCCTAAATGTAAAATTACCAATTCCTCAGCTTCAATGTTGTTGAGATATTCATCAATAGTAACAGTTTGCTCAACCTCGTCATCAAAGGCACCATCCATTTTTTCAATATAGTCCAAAAGATTGAAACTTTATGCTTCTACCTGAAATTCAAACCAACAAACAGAGATATTAGAGATAGTTCTGCCTCAAAAAGTGTTGATTTTGATCTGGAAATTTAGGGCTTGACCTAAAAATAAGAAACCCTCAATTATTTATTCACTAATAAGTCAGTAAAGGAGGTATTGGGGGTAAAGGGCACCAACCTGATTGGATTTTGTTGATTTCTAATAATTTCTAGGGTTTGTGATAGGATTATGAGAGGGAGAGAGAGAGAGGGGGGGGGGATGTGTGTCGTCAGTGCATTGAGAGAGAGGAGAGAGTTTGTTAGTGTTATATGGGAGTGTTACGGACTGTACGGACATTTCCCGCCATGACAAATGTTACGTGGTAGTGGGGTGCATCACTCTAACAAGTTAAAATTTTCATGCTACTTTCCCTCCAATTTGTGGCTTGTGTTGTAGATTGGCGTTGTGTCGGTGTGTTTTACTCCATGTTTGAACACTTCAGATTTTTCTACTTTTCTTCTTTAAGCATTTCGATGGTGATTGCTCGAGCAAGCCGTACATCTCTCGTTTCCGCCCATTAAGATGCCGCTTGAAATGAAGTGGAATGCGTAATTGTAAAACAATTAAGGAGAATCGGGAATAAATAAATAAATAAATGTATTGGTTCGAATAAAGCTAATATGTTGGAGATCTAATTAAGAAAAAACACTCAGTTGTAATATAAGAAACATATTTCAAAGTTATTCTAGCTATCAAAAAGAGATTCATTATTACCTTCGAATTGGGGATAAAAGAACAATTTATAGTGGCAAAGGTGAATGCAATTTTAGTTTTTAATCTCAAAAAATAGATCTGAAAGTTAAGAAAGTTTGCTCATTTTTTATAATTACCCGAACCATTAAAAAAAATTACTTGACTCAAATTTTTTTCTTACCTGATTTTGCTTCAATTGAGTAATTCAGATAACCCGATTTTTTTATTCATCGTTCCATTATTATCTCTACCTCAATTACTTTTAAAAAAATACAATTAATTAGGTTAAATTAGGATAGAAGAAAGTTTTGACTATCCAAAACTTAGGTCGAACAAAGATTCAAGTCAACTGAGATGCCTCAAACCACGTCGGGCCTATGGAATCAGAGGTTACCCAACCCGATAAACAGTCCCCCTCACTTGTTTATATCTTAACATGAACATGAATGTGAGTTGAAGCCCAATTTAATTTGTCCATCGGGGCAGGCTTAATCTTCTTACATAGCAAGGCCTAACCTTCCAAAGCCGTAGCCTATATAGATAGCACAGACTGACCCATGCACCCAACACGATTTTCTTTTTCTCTTTCTTTCTTTTCTTAAAGCAGTAAGGTTTTTTTTTTTTTTTTTTTTTTTCCAAAAATTATGGCGTAGCTATAATCTATGTGATTACGAGAACTTTTGTGTTCGTATGGATTAAATCAATCATATTGTAGAGAACTTAGGTTTTGTATATCGACGTCGCCGCGAGTTGTTAAGAAGGCAACGAGCTTAATTTTTGGGTAACATAAGCTGATTTTAGAGACAAATTTATAATACGCTTTTGCCTCTTTATTTCTTGGAAATTTAGTTTTGAATAGCTGCAAATCAGGACGTGCATACTCAGAAATTTAATTATTCTTATTCAAAAAAATAAAGATATGTTCTCTTTTTCCGTCTTTAAGATGAGGTTAGCCACGGTTACAAGGCAATGAAGAACTTGTAAGCATCCCTATAATGATTGTGCCATTATAGTCAAATCAAATGAGACTAAAGACTTCTATTTAATCAAACGTAGATAATTTCCAATCAAATGAGCCTCACCTCCCAATCAGAACAAGACGTTAATCAATGCAAAGTATTTATTGTTCTTTATTTATTTTGAAGCTATCAAATTCCAAGTCTAAGTAAACTCCAGATCCCAGTCAAAACTGAACCATCTATATTTTAAAACAAAAATAAAAAGGAGCATTATTTGCATTTGTGTACACCCTATCATCGCAGCTGGTGCAATAGATATATATCCGACTTTGGTGCCATGTTTAGCTTTCATCACTTGAAGCTGCTATGAAGTTGCTTTCGTCAACCATTGCCTCATCCTTTTCTGTCTTCCAGCTTGACTATTTCTTGATGCAGGGGAAATAGAAAATGTTAATTGTTCAACAGCAATAATGCTCCTGCTTCAACGCGGTTTTGACATTACTAACTACCGAACTAGCCAGGTGCAAAAAGAATTAAACAACATTTGAACTAGTCTTGTCACAGTGTTTTACAAGCAAAGCAGACACTTGTACAACACATAGACAAAAAATTTATAAGAAACAAAAACAAATTAAGCATCCAATTGGACTAAACGGGTCAAACTTTTTGGATTTTAATTTATTCATAAACTTTATTTTTATTAAAATTTAGTCCATCATTTGATTTTCTATAGAAAAAATAATAACAATAACGGTTACACAAATAGGTTCATGATGAAAATCATCCAATAAAATTTATATTGGACTTTCTAAAAAAATTGAGATCATTCTGATTTATTATCTATTTTTCTCAATTTTTATATTTTTAATATTTAAAAAATAAAAAAATATATCTTTTTTTTTACCTTGAAGAATTTTTATTTTTTTAGAAAATAAATTAGATTTTTCTTGACATGTGTGCAAAACGTACTCTCAAAATACCAACAATTGATTTTATTTTTTATTTTTTAGCAAAAAAAAAGTGATATTTGAAAATCATGGGAAGAATTAAATTTCAAAAAAATAAAATTTAAAAGAAATCAAATTCAAAATTAAAAATTTAAACTGACTTTTAAATGAATTAAAATTCAAAAAAAATAAAAATTGGCCGGGCTTTAAAATAATATTAAAACAACATAAAAATGTTTTAGTTTATATTGATACATGCATGTCAAGATTATTAAATTTATTATTTAATTTAATTTAAATGGTACCAATAGCAGCTAGTATTTTACCAAAGCTCAGAGTTTATGCAATCTAGATTTTTTTTTTAATTTTTTTTATATATTTTGAGAAAGAAGAAATTTGGGTGTTGTTCATTTAATAAAGACGCCAAATAGTTTACAATAATATAATAAGCACAAATCATCTTATGCACCGGCAAGAACTTCACATACAAAACAATTGGAAATATTGTGTTTATAGAAAAAAGTAATAATGAAATACTAATTACGCTTACAGATCACGTTAATAGAAAGGTTGGCCCATGACGAGGACAGATAACAATATCTTTCTGTTTCAGATTTTTTTATAATCTTATCACATCAATTGTGGTGTGTAAATTAATTATTAACCCACGCCGTGCCATACGTGTAAAACCAGTAGAAGGTCTCTTCCAGCACTCTTTAATAAATAATTAATCAAGCAAGCTGTTGCATCTCTATTTAATTTCCTTCAGCAAAAATGCAAATGCGGACCCTACCATTCATAACGACACACCAATTTTTGTGTTAGCAAGTGAGGTGTGGGTTTCCGGCGGGGTATTTCAGTTGCAAACAACAATCAAGGACATTCATTGTCAAGAATTAAAAGACAAAGAAAAACAGTCGTCCATCCAGAAATTGTCTACTTTTCCTTCCCGGAAACCGAGAAAAATAATTATTCAATCTCTTGTTTTGTACACAATTATAAACGAGTACGTCATGTTTGAAAATCTATAACTTAATCCCAATAAGGCTTAACCCCTCAACTTTTATTGATCGGTCGTTGTCCTATCAAAACATTTTTTTAAAAAAATTAATTATTAAATACTGTTGCATTTGGGATTTGGAAAAAAATAATAAAAAAATGTTCTAATAAGATATCGGTCAACAGGAATAAAGGGACCACGTTGAAAATTTTCAATTATGAAGGACTAATTTATTTCATATTAAAAAGTTAGGAATCAAATAAAAATAACTATCGGAAATATCATGCTGAGTGCTGAATTCCTATCGACTTTCTTTGATGGTCCAGAATCCCAACCAAATGCAATCCTATCAAACCCGGAATTAATAAAACCCTGCCCATAAAAAGCGTATTTCCCAAAAAATGGCTCCTTCACTACTCTTTCTCTTCCTACTCTTCCTTCAAAAAGCAACCAGCAATCAAACCACCTGCTATAATCCATGCCTGAGGAACGACGTAGAGGTTCGATTCCCTTTCGGATTTTACAACAACAGATGCAGCTATCCAGGTTTCAAACTCTCATGCAACAATCTCCAAAACCAGATAATCCTCAACCTCCCAAACACAGGCAACTTCACTGTCCAGAACATCAACTACCGAAGCCAAACAGTATCCATAACAGACCCACAGAACTGCCTTGCAAAGAAATTCATAGACTCGTTTGACCTGTCAGGATCTCCTTTTGTTCCGGAATACAACAATCGTTTCTTCACCTTCCTTAATTGCTCATCAAATTCTACTGTCATCATAGCAGGGCTAAGGCTCATTAATTGCCTTAGCAACGAGAATTTCACTGTTTTGGCCTTGCCCACAAACATTTATGAGTCGTTCCCTGATTACAGGCCACCATTCTGTACAGAACTGAAGAAAAGAGTGTCGGTTCCGGTTCCTTGGTATCGTTGGTCAGATAGTGAAACAAGATTATTTTGGAATGAACCCTATTGTCAGCCGTGTGAAGTGGATGGTGGGACTTGTCAATTCCAGGGGAATACTGGTCTGACCATTAAATGCAACGGTCGAGGTAGCAACGGTATGTTTCTCGAAAAATATCAGAACAGTCATGCCTGTAGCGACTACTGATCCCTCTAAATTGTTCATGACCCACATGCTCCTCTTACATGTGTGGACCGTGGATGTTTTAATAAGTGAGTCGCCACAAGCATGATTTGCGTCTGGAAGTTTTCTACTAAAAAATTGCATTCCGTTCTTTATAAATCATATATGATATTGTGTGTATATTACATCTAGCTAGGATTGAAGTATATTGCCAACATAGGATAAAAATAAAATTAATGATGATGATTTTAGGATGAGTTTTTTTGTTACCGTACATTATTTTTATTTTATGTTATTATGAGACTATAAGTAAAGATTATGAAAACATAGAATAAAAAGTTTTATCGTACTCATAAATTTTGAAAATTCACATACATACGTCTCATAATTAAAAGAAGGAAAGTACAGTAATTTCACATCTACCCCTGATTTTAGTGGTCATAAAACGTTACTGCGTGTGTTGAAAGGGGCTAGCTACTAGGATGAAGATGCACAGCGATTGGTTGAACTTCATAGTCAAAGTGCTAGTAAAAGCAACAAAAAATTAAGACAAGGGAGAGGTTGGGTAAGAAAAATTTTATAATTTACGAAGAATAACTAGAGACGTATACAGATGGTTATTCATATTTAAAAAAAAATTAAATCAATCAATTGAGATTTGGTAGTCAATTCAGAGAACGAATTGAGATTGAGTAGTCAATTGAGCGATTCGAGAAATTTTCTTATTATTTATAATGAATTCAGATATAATTCAATATATCTATATCTTTTATTAAAATAGATTTATAAAATAATTATTATATATATCTATAATTATTTATGATATATTATAAAAATGTCTCATTGTATAGTACAATGATTCCACGGTCCAGACAGACTATGGGTTGGGGAATCGCTTTCTGTAAGAATTAGGAACGCTGAAAAATGCAGTTGCAACGTGTCAGTTGCTTTAAAGTGACACGACGCATAAATTTTTCGTATGACTAGGGCGTACGATAACATTCCCCACACGAACTCGAACTTGATAAACACGGAAGTTGACCTTTTAATTTCTCAGAAAATCTTGCATTTTGATTCCTTCTTTGTTGTGGTAGAATCTTCCCATTGCGTGCTCATGAGATTACTGACTGTCAAATTCTTGTACGTCATGTGTTCATGAGATAACATTCATAAGGTTTTGTTTTTTTTTTTTTCCAAAACTTAAAAAAAAAAAAAAAAAAGCTAAGAAGCAAGCAATTAAAGAATTTTTTTAAAAAAAAATTCTTTTGAATGGAAAAAAAAAACCATCCATAAGTTTTCATAAATTTTTAAAAGAAAAAAATTAAAAAATATTTTAGAAAGAAAAAAAATAAGTATTAAAGGAAAAAACAAATTATTCATTAGTTTTTGCACACTTTTAGTGATTGAAAAAGTTAAAAAGTCAACTACATATAAATTTTATGTCATTTCACTATTACAATTGATAAAAACCTAATATAAAATTTTAATTTTTAATAAAAAAATAATTATAGAAAGTTCTAGCTTGAAGTTAAAACTTGAGGAACAAATTCTTGAGTAACTTAAAGTTCGGGATAGATTTAGATTGTTTAATGAGATGAAGATAATGAATTTTTCCCAAAATCGTATTATAAAAAAAATAAGATTATATAGGTGTTATCTTCTATTGTTATGTTGTATCATATTATCGCATCAAATATTTGTTTGCCGAATTTAAATAAAAATAAAAATAATTTGTCCCTTTAAGATCCGAAGGGTTTTTCAATTTTTCTTAAATTTTGTTTGCATCAATTACCTCTAAAAATTTTCTTTAAAGTTCCAATTCTTTCTTTTCATCTATTAAAATAGTATAACTAATGATGTAGTAATTTTTTTATATCTCAACTAACTTTTTTAAACTTTAAAAAAGTTTTAATTAAGCAAGCATTCTTCAATTCTATTAACTATCTTGTTTTTTCATTTAGAATTATATTTTAGTATTTGATCTCTTATTTCTCAAATTTATAACTTTAAAAGATATATATATATATATATATATATATATATATATATATATATATATATATATATATATATATATATATATATATTGATAGAAATACAAACTCAAACTACAAATCTTGCATATTTTAATGAAAATCATAAGGACCTAATACCAAGATTACTTAGCTTCTTGATAAAAAAAAAAAAAATTAAAATAACATAGCTTGGTATTCTTTTTTTATATTCTTATTTTTAAAAAACAAAAAACATGTGTTAATTGTGTAAAACATAAAGTTTAATATAATAAAATTAATAATATCAATGCACTATATGTATTTTTGTCCAAAACGTAATTAAATTTTTGTATTAATTCTTTAAATTATATTAAAGTTTATAAACTCAAACTAATAACTAAGGACATGGTATTTCATAATTGAAATAATACTAATTCTCATTTTTATTTTTTCAAATTTTGATGAAATATATTTTATAAATTTTGATGTGATTGAAAAATAAATATTAGATTGAGAATTTTTTAATACTTTAAGAAGTCAATTGAATTATGAAAAATATCATATTACTTGGTTATGTTAGTTTAATAAATCAAAAGAAAGAAGCTGAAACTTTGGTAAAAGTTCGGGAATGTAGTTAATACAAATGAAATATAAGAAAAGAAATTGAAAAATCCCTCAAACTTCGGGAAAACAAATTAAAATTTACCCAAATTTTGTTTGAAGTTATATACTAAAACCAATGTGAATGAGAGAAAAAACAAAGAACAATAGAGGAATGTTAGCTACCTATGGTCTTGTAGTTGCTTTGATTTGTATTTTTGTTGAGACAGAATATCATTTGAATGCCCATTGCCCTCGTTTTTGTTTTTCCTTTTTGTATTCTAACCCTTGTTCATGATTTTGCTTTGCCGAGTCCTCTCCCAGAAGTGCAAAATATGGCATCATAATAGAGAGCTGGAATACCGGGATCGTTATGCATCATTGGGATTGGTTCTTACTTGTGTGGCAAACTCAAGGCATATAACGATGGCAATCAACCTACCACGGAATTTTCCACCTCGATTGCTCCACAACCAAGCGTAGTAGTAAGCTGGTCTTGATAGACCAACAATAGAATCTTACCCCAAAACCCAACTCGGTGACGAGTGGAAGATTGCCTAAGCCTAGCGACAACACTTGCCCTATATGTTTATCCGAATATCAACCAAAGGACACACCGAGGACTATTCCCGATTGCAACCATTACTTTCATGCTAACTGCATAGATGAATGGCTTAAAATGAATTCAACATGCCCTCTGTGTCGAAATTCGCCGGAAGGGTCAATCGTAATGACCCCTTCTTCGTTGTCCTCATCATCATCTTCATTATCAACACAATAGATGACTAGCCACACTCGTACAAGGTATTTTTGCTGGAGTTTTAATGTTCAATTATACATTAGAATTACTTGATGTGTATATGTTCTTACAAATGGTGACCAACCATAGGGGTACCTTATTTGATTTTGGTTTTATATGAGATACCAAAGAGAAAAGCTAGACAATATATCATCTATAACTAATTAGTTGAGTTGTGTATGTCTTGATTTGATCTCTATGATGATCCCAAATATCTATTATTAGTCATAAGAAATATGCAATGGCAATAGCTGTAAAAATACATGGAAAACCCCAACTTCTAACCCCTAATGCATCTAACTATCAATCTTTATTACGGGGATCATGAAATACACATGGCCTCATAATTATCTCTCCTATATATTTCCCTTATTGTTTCACAACATCAACGAAGCACATTGCTTTTTGAAGTTAATAAAAAATTTCTTACAACAATTTGGAATTAGGGTATCATAAGTTACTTAACTATGGTTTTAGCCATTCCTTTATTTTGTGTGAGCAATGGAGGTAAGTAGTGCACCATATTCTTGCGGTGAGGTGAACTAACAATTGAACCCAAGAAATCTTGTGATGGCATTAGCCATCCGAGCCACTTAAAGACATATTGTGATGGCATTAACCATCTATCCAAGTATTCTAAAAAAAGAAAGATCGAGAGGCTGTGTGTTGGTGCTTAAGACCGCAACACGAGTGCTTCGCTCATTAATTTATCTTAGTCTTTTCCCTACCCAAAATACAAAGTGCCCATAATATCGCCTTCAATCTCTTTAAACTTCAAATGTTCTAATTAATTATGAGGGTGTTTGTGTATCATTATAGTTTTACATTTTTTGTTATTTTTCCTCAAAAAGGGAAACATATTTGGCATCTTTTGTTTTTTTTTCGAGTTGTGGCTGAAAGGAAAGAAAAAAGCTGATCTCATTCATAGAAAAAGGAAAACATGGTTTTTAACTTTGTGTTTATGTTTCTCTCGTCCAATTTCTATCTCTCGGTTGCTCTTTTGAGACTAAAAATTATCATACCTTTCACATACAAGATGAAATCACACCAAGATAGATCAACCACCACCACTACATAGAAGCCACCTCATAACCTACAAAACCACTAGCATTATTAACGATCCATCATCGGTGTTGACGGGGCCCATGGGAAGGAGGAGAAAGGAGTTGCCACCTACCTATGAGGAAGAACTTGAAAATACTAAAACAAAATTGGTTTCTATAGATATTTAAGTAAAGGATCGGTTACATATGGAAAAGATACAACATCAACGTCATCTTGTCCTACCTAAGGTAGGCTACATTGAATGCATGTGAAAATAAAATTTTAGTTTTATTATGTTATGTTTCTATGTTTGTTTGAGTGAATT